TTTTTATTTAACCAACAGGACTATTGGTACCTTTACCAAAATCTACTGTGATATAGTATACGGATAGCTAACTGTGATATAGACATAGGATTTTATTGTGATATAGGAATAGATTATCTCCCAGTGAAATGTGTACATGTTGTTAGCTGTGATATAATATGTAAAAGTAGTACATAGGAGCATATACGTGTTAATAATCGTAGACATAGGTGAATGTTCGACTGACTACACAAAAGATACGCATACAGAAACAAAGAGACTTTCATAGGAAGCCCGGCGTTAGGTCGTGGGTCGAGGCCACACGTAGGCAAAACGCACAAACAATGTAGGTAGGCTGCGTTTGAATTCTTTTACGCGAACGCTGCATATTGCAGGCAACATCGGCAAATGCGAGCCTGTAACGACAGCCTATGTAGTAGGTGGCAAGTAACTGCTGCAACAAATATCCCCACTCAAATATCCCCCCACACAAATGCCCATTTGTACCTCAACGATGTACCCAAACATGTTGTGCAACATGTGCGAAAAGGCGCGCTGCCACGAATGACCGTGTGCATGTGTGTACGTGTGTGAATGTTCGTGTAGGTGCAGATTCTAATGTGTACATTTGAACTATGTGTTTGTGTATGTGGATAAGAGTGAAAGTTCGAGAAATGTTCCACACGCAAATGCACCGGGGCACGATCGCCTGGTCGGCTAACAGGAAAATTCAAATTGAAAAGTGCCTTTCAAGTGAAAAGACGTGCGAGGAAAAGTTTACGCGTGGAATATTAGCCATTTCCGCCAGTTCACAAAAGAAAAAAAAGGTTTTGTGCCCCGTTTAACCGGGACCTTTAATTCCCGCTGCCGATCCTGCTACCAGAATGTGAGTCAGCTAACGGCAACTAGGCCTAACATATGGATGTATGTAACTGAGTGTGTCACCTTTTTTTTCCTTTTTTTAAACGTGTATAAAATTGCGTGACAAATAAACAAAATTTTAACTAAATCCAAAAAAAAGGTAAAATAATAAAGAATGCTTTACATACATATATTATATTAGCGAAATATAAATATAATATAATAAATTATGTCCTGGCAAGATTAACATAAATGAGTTGAAGAATAATATATATTCCGTGAAACTAATAAATCAAATAAGCAAAAGGCACCAAGCACATGAACGCACACATATGTAAATATAGACGCACGTACATACGTATAACCAAACAATTGACATGTTAATATACGTACACATCGTAACAAGTATGGTGGTAAAAAAAAAACAAG